CATTTACTATTTAGAAATATATTTAAAGCATAACATAACCCATGGTGCTTAGACATTTGTCATACTTCTTGACAAATACTATGTAAATAAATCTAGGAAATAACTGACATTCTCATCCTAATACTATTACATTCGTAAACCCTGTCTGTCCCTATCATATTCTCATCCTAATACTATTACATTCGTAAGCCCTGTCTGTCCCTATCAAATCCTGTCAGTTACATCTTTATTCCTGTCAGATTTATCTGATATTTTAGTCCCTGTCACATATTGGACCCTGTCCTGATCTGTGTCTATCACATGTTGGACCTTAAGTTACATATTGTTCTTGTCTGACAGACTTCTGACACCTGCCTTTTATAGCTGCCTGGTTAACTCGACACTTTCTGGTTGGTCAGAATGTTATGCTATACATAGACATTCTGGTCTTTCATAGGGTTGCCAGACATCCGGCAAAAGGAGGACGTGTCCTCCGTCCGGCAGGCAAAGATAAAAACCTTTAAAATGCCCAGCTTTTGTATATTTTATGTTATAATTTTGGATGGGGGGAGAGAGGTGGAATGACCCCCCTTTCTTTCCCCTTCCCCACCTGCCCGCCCCGTTACCTGCTGCTGCAGCACAGCCCTTGCCCCGTCCTGCGGCGGCTGCTCAGCAATCCACCATGCCTGCCCAGCCCACGTGGAGACCAAAAAGGCAGTACGAGCGGAGCGCTTCCTGCTGAGCCAGGCAGAAACAAGCAGACTGTGTGTGTTCAAAGTCCCTTTCGGGGACTCCAACTCCCACACTCCCCAACCTTGAACTTATGACCCTCGGGGGAGGGGAGGCTGGCTCGTTCAGCTTTCCCCAGTGCCGTTTCCCCCCTGCCTGCGCTGGAGCCTTGTTGGGGCATCCAGATTAGCAAGGTTGCCTCTGAGCTTGTGCAGAGTGCGAGCAGTCGGGGGATCCTGCAGCCAGGCCAGGGTGGATTCCGGTTTATTTGCTTTGCTCCCAATCGTCCTCTGAGCCTGTGCAGAGTGCAAGCAGTCGGGGGATCCCGCAGCCAGGCCAGGGTGGATTCCAGTTTATTTGCTTTCCTCCCAATTGGAAGTACAATTTGAAGAATATTACCTATGAACAGTTTTATGCATATGTAATTGCTAATGATGATCTTCTGCAAAAAGTTGGCTCCTCCGCGAAATATGTTGGGTAATGAATAAAGATTATAAGGTAATAATTGTACAATTGGCTGTTTAAATAATGTTTTTTGGTATTTTTTTAAAAAAGCCTCCATTGAATTATTTTTATTTTTTAACATGACTCTGGGTTGGTTCACTAAGACAGGGGTACCCAACCTTTTTAGCCCCGCAAACCGGCTGGGGAAGGGCGGTGCAGCACTTGTGCAGGCGCGCTTTTTTTAGCCCCGCAAACCGGCTGGGGAAGGTGGGGTACCCCCCTGCACATGTGCAAAGGAATAGGGGGCGCTCATACAGGCGCTCGTGCACATGCACAAAGGGCGGTGCAGCCCTTGTGCAGGTGCGCTTGCGCACAGGCACAAACAGGCTGTGCGGGGTGGGAGGGTCTGTTTTCGGCTCAGGCCACAGACTGGCACTGGGCCGCGGACCAGGAGCTGGGGACTTCTGCACTAAGAGACATTTATTGGCAGCTATTGTAATAAAATTGTATTGATTGCGGGTTTAATCCGGAATGATTCAAATGAAACATTCAATACATCCTCCCGTCATCTTTTTCTTTTCTTTCTATGCCCTCCTTTTGATGCCCATGTATCTGGCAACCCTAGTCTTTCACAGAAAACACATACATATACATATTGTGTTGTATAATTATATATAGCAATATATAAGAGTACAGTCGTATACTAAGCACCAGCATTTAATTCCGTCCCCTTCCATCTTCCTGGTTTCTACCTAGCTAGCTACTCTTTCCAGGCCATCTTGTCCCAACCCCGCACAGAAAGGGAGCGCGTCTACTCTTGTTGGCCGGCTTTGGCAGCTGAAGTGGAAGCTACACAGATGGCTCAGGCGTGTGGAAATTATGGCTCTCCAGATGTTTTTGGACTGCAATGACCATCCTCCCCTCACCATCAGCTAGAACGGCCTAAGATTGACGGCAGCTGGAGTCCAACAACATCTGTCTGTCCGGCTACCCGCTGTCCACCCCCTCCCAAGACACAGATCATTTATTGCCCAGATCTGGCGCCTCCACGTTCTCTCTTTGCAGAGAAGAGCCTTGTCGCCAACACCATAGGCTCGCTTACACGCCGCCCTCTCCTTTTTCCAACGAAGCCCCCCCCTTCCAAAAAAAAGCCTCCGCAGGATTTAGCCCCGCCCAGACTTTCGTCAATCCCGGCGAGCGCAAAACGATTGGGTCCCGGCACTCTTAGCAACGATCTCCTTAACTCCGGTTGGAAAAAACACCCGCGGAAGGCGGGACGCTGTTCCTTCGTCTCCGCCCACTTTCCCTTTTGGGAGGCACTCATTGGTTAGGCTTGAGGTCAGTCTCTTCTCTTCCTTTCCTTTCACCCCCTCCCCCAGCCGCCCCGCTCC